GTTTACTGTTTGTCTTGTTCGCCCTACCACTGTATGTATACCGTTATTGTTATATTGTTAGTTTATCATCCTTTCTGGATCGAAACTGGAGACAGTGAAACTTTTCGTTATGAAACAAGGAATGCCTTCCGAGTGAACTACGTTGTAGGTAAAAGTCAATGAAACGGCATGAATGATCCGAACAGCCCGCCTATTTTTCTATATCAAATCATTTACAGCATAAGTCGATTTATCATATTCATTCCAATAAGTTTCCAAGTTAATAAATAAGCCTATTTACAACAGGCACAACAGAAAACCCATAAGATGTAGGCTGCCCTACAAAACCTTCACAAAAAGTGTCAGTTTCTTTCATTGCAAGAGGCAACTGCCACACAGCCCGTCGTGTCTTTCAAAATTAACTCGGTCAATGCTCTTCTTTTTGTGTTCGATATAGTGAAATGATGTAAAAGTGTGCTGTTGTTTAGTGCTATAGCAAATGTTTTAACTGATTTCAATTAGTCGTTGTATGGACAAGCGTATTTCGTCATTTTCCTAATAAAACATTACACATGTACGAGTTTGCAACAAAAGGTTTGTAAAAGCATATTAGTTTATTCACTTTAATTAATTCTTACAATTTAAAGTGATGATGATAACCCAACACACGGATTGTTTGTTCTTAGATTATAAAAAAAAAATCACGATTTCCTTACCACAGAAACTATTACAGTAGAAATTCAATGGCAAACCTAACCTATTATTTGTGAAACTACAAAATACACTTTCTGTTAACAATAACTAACCAGTCTAAGGGGGGTTACTCCTACAAAATAACAGTCTTATTTTCGGTTTTCGAAGTAACACACCACGATTTGAATTTTAAAAAACTTTAAGAAGAGGCAATTTCTACAAAAAATAAGCACAATACTGAAAATATCCTGCTTTTGCTCCACTGAAATACGGTCACTACTATATCATTGCATAATTTATGAAGTGGATAAATATATATCTGGATATATGACTAATGAAATTTGTATCAAATTACAACAGATTTGTTAAAAGTATTTACATGGATAGTGAACCATATATCGATAGGTAAAACAAGTAAAGCGCCAAGATAAATACTAGTTCTATAACTCCAACGCACCAGTACAAAATCTGGAATCGAAGTCAAAAGGAAAAGACAACGGCAGGAACTGAGGAGACACCAAAACAAAAGGAAAGCAACCGACAGGAATTGAGGAGACACCAAAACAAAAGGAAAAGACAACAGCAGGAACTGAGGAGACACCAAAACAAAAGGAAAGCAACCGACAGGAACTGAGGAGACAAAAAGGGGCATCTAAATCTTCACAAGGTTAAACTATTTTTTTTAGATGAGAATACCGTAAACGTTTGTATTTTAGCAATAGATTTTAAGCATGATTTGTGTAAACCAATGAGATTTTATTTCGTTAAAAAAGAAACGGGTTTTCCGGGGTATACTTTAGATATAAGAAAGCGTACTATTAAAATGAAGGTGATGTACCGCAGAGTAGACTATGTGCACAAATGAAAAGCCTTGCCAGAGCTAAGGACTTCTTAGTCGATTAATATTTCCAAAATATGGATAAGGAAATTCATTAGGTTAAAAGAACTGAAATTAATCTGTAGCCTGATAATATAGAACATAAGGTAGATTTGTTCTGTACCTATATATGTATTATTTTGAAGGGTATTTTGTTCGAACAGGCACTGACTTAACTGGACAAGAAATCAAACATGTTCTAATAAAATTTCAAGTGTTCTAACAAGTTTTTGATGTTGTTTTTTTACTACATGTACATCTTAAACATTTCCCATTTTTTCTTTATATTCATAAAAGATTATCCGAGGTTATCCAAACACTCTAAACAACCCAAACACATTCAAGGGTCTTGGGCACGTGCTCATGATATAAGTACAAGGCCAAGACTGGTATCTAACTTAATTTTGCGCAACATGACATGGTTCCAACTACATGCCACACACAACATGATATGGTTCCAACTACATGCCACACACAACATTGCATGGTTCCAACTACATGCCACACACAACAGGACATGGTTCCAACTACATGCCTCACACAACATGACATGGTTCCAACTACGGGCCACACACAACATGGCATGGTTCCAACTATATGCCACACACAACATGACATGGTTCCAACAACATGGCACATTGTATGTAAAACCTTCCCACGAGCTATGATAGCTGTAACAAGAATGCTAAAGTGAAAGAAGGGGTTCTGTCATGTTCTTTTGATAGTATATTAAGTTAAAGCGATATTTTAATGATGTTTTAAAAAGCAATGCCATTGCCATAAGATAACCAAGGGGAAAACTATATTGGTCCTTAAAGAGTAATGTAATTACCATCAATGGTAAACCAGTCTGACAGCGACTCTATATGGCACACAAGTTAAATAGCACAATGGTGCTGCCATGAAGCTAACATAATGGTTTTCAAACAAACAATGATATGATTAGTGCAATCGTCCTTTAATAGTGTTCTGTCATGCAATAGCCCTTCAATGATAACAGTATTTGTCATGTTGTAATCAAGTGTAACAGATATCATTGTTTATAGTATATAAATATACAGATGTAACTGTTTATAGTATATATATATACAGATGTCATTGTTTATAGTATATATATATACAGATGTCATTGTTTATAGTATATAAATATACAGATGTCATTGTTTATAGTATATATATATACAGATGTCATTGTTTATAGTATATATATATACAGATGTCATTGTTTATAGTATATAAATATACAGATGTAACTGTTTATAGTATATATATATACAGATGTCATTGTTTATAGTATATAAATATACAGATGTCATTGTTTATAGTATATAAAGATACAGATGTCATTGTTTATAGTATATATATATACAGATATCATTGTTTATAGTATATAAATATACAGATGTAACTGTTTATAGTATATATATATACAGATGTCATTGTTTATAGTATATATATATACAGATATCATTGTTTATAGTATATAATGCCACACACAACATGACATGGTTCCAACCACCGGCCACACACAACATGACATGGCTCCAACTACATGCCACACACAACATGACATGGCTCCAACTAGATGCCACACACAACATGACATGGTTCCAACCACATGCCACACACAACATGACATGGTTCCAACTATATGCCACACACAACATGACATGGTTCCAACTACATGGCACATTGTATGTAAAACCTTCCCCCGAGCTATGATAGCTGTAACAAGAATGCTAAAGTGAAAGAAGGGGTTCTGTCATGTTCTTTTGATAGTATATTAAGTTAAAGTGATATTTTAATGATGTTTTAAAAAGCAATGCCATTGCCATAAGATAACCAAGGGGAAAACTATATTGGTCCTTAAAGAGTAATGTAATTACCATCAATGGTAAACCAGTCTGATAGCGACTATATATGGCACACAAGTTAAATAGCACAATGGTGCTGCCATGAAGCTAACATAATGGTTTTCAAACAAACAATGATATGATTAGTGCAATCGTCCTTTAATAGTGTTCTGTCATGCAATAGCCCTTCAATGATAACAGTATTTGTCATGTTGTAATCAAGTGTAACAGATATCATTGTTTATAGTATATAAATATACAGATGTCATTGTTTATAGTATATATATATACAGATATCATTGTTTACAGTATATATATATACAGATATCATTGTTTATAGTATATAAATATACAGATATCATTGTTTATAGTATATATATATACAGATATCATTGTTTATAGTATATATACAGATATCATTGTTTATCGTATAAATATACAGATATACATAAGCAAAGAAGCAACAGTCGTGATAATGATTTTTTTCAAATTCTTAAGAAAATCCGCCCCTTTACCCTTTAGACTCAAAACAGTCACAATTTCTTAATGAAAACTATAAAACGGAGAAAACCGGTTAACCGGTTCTACATTTACAGAAATTATGCTTATTAAATTTGAAGCATATTCTTTCTTCTGCTATATGAGTCAAAGGCTATTTATAAGGAAAATTCCATTTTTAGATTGTGTACTGAAATGAACTTATAAATAGATAATTAAAGTGTAGACTCAGCACTGTTTTATAATTAATTATATTTTGTGTCAAATGTTTCTTTCATTTTGGTGTCAGGATGAAATCTTGAATTGACTCAATTATTTCACAAATTTCATTTACATCACTGTCGCTATTACTTCATTACTGTTACTGTTATAAATTAAAATGCACCCAACAACGCTCTGTTTCCTTGGATCCAGAGGCCATATTCGGCCATATTCGGCCAGAGGCCATATTCGGCCATATTCGGCCAGAGGCCATATTTGGCCACATTCGGCCATACTGTTATAATTATTGAAGAGACACACATATCATTTCATATTTTAAATCTTAGGATCAACATGTGTCAGTGCATTGTTTCTATTAATTTGATACGCAACATAGAAACAAAATAAGACTTTTCCAGCGCTTAGTCCTGCTAGGGCCTTAATTATAAGCTCATCATCTTTGTCACCGACTTACCTATTGTGTATTTTATAATGTGGTATGATGATACACTATGTTTAATAATACAAATGTACATCATAGGGCTTTGGTGTATTTTATAATCATGTGTTATGATGGTACAGTGTATATCAGCAACTGTATATGAATATGTGACAATTGTATAACAGAGTCTGTGTAGATAGCCAAGCAGTGTAGTAATCGTAAGCGGACACAAGAAGGTTATATTATATCCACCACTGTTCTATACAGGTTCAATAACTACAATTTACTATATTACTGGTCCCACAATCCACCTTACAAAGGTACATGTACATCATGTCTACAAAATGATCCTGTTCCTCACAACACTTCCATGTACTGGCATTATTGTGTGTATATTATCCTCCAATGTACAAGGACATACCAGGGTAAATTCTTTAACAGAATGTAACATACAGAATTAGATTACAATGATTTTTTTACATAAAATCAACAGATTTACAGTTTATCATGACACAGAAATAGGTGTAATATATGAAAATACATTCTTGGTTTACTAATTATAGTTCACAAATGGGATGATCGAATAGTTTGATATGTTTCACAACTGCTCAGCATGAGTGACAATATTCACTTCACAGTGAATTATTACTGTTTCTCAACAAGAAACCTATAGAATTCTGTTTCTTACATTTTTTTATATAAAAACAAGAGCTTCAATGGACAGATAGGCTATCTCCTGACAAAACATACTGAAGACAAAGCATGATGTATTCTGTTGTCAGGGCTATTATGACGCGACAATGCCCATTGTTTGTTTTTTTCTTATTTAATATGGCTTTTTTCTGTGGTTCGTGGGTTTAAAAAGTGCGAGAATAACAGATTGTTATATGTCACAGTAGAAAAATACCAACTTCGTTTTTACAAAGAAACCTTACATGTCAATGGCAAAATGCAATAAAATGCAACCTACACAAAAACAATGCAATTTCATACCACATTAACAGGTACAATACAATATACACAGAATCAAGCTCTCATCCACTTATATACTTTCATACCATAGTTTGAACAATAGATACTTACAAATACCAATAATAGACTACAAATAAATAATAATATTTAGAAAGATATCATAGGGAATGTGTAGTTTAACATATTGCATAAGTGTTTTATCACAGAAAGTTGCTATAAAGTTGGTACTGCAGTGCATGAAAGTTAAAAACCACGGCATCCCCAAACAAATGCTCTACAGCCTATTAAAAGATCATTCAAAATTTGATGACACCAGCTCAGTATATTGAGATCTACACAATTGGAATTTTGACACCAAATATATTTTCTTTTTAAAATAAATCCATAAAGCTAGTCACTGTCCTTCTCGCATGAGACAAATCTTCACAAATGTTAAATAAAGTCAGCCCTTTTTACAAGTGGAAAATATCTCAACAAAGTATGAATTGTGAGAAACGTCAGTGGTTCTTAACTTGCAATTTCATCAAGAAGGTAGCTAAGCATACAGAGAGTACATAATTAAGGTAATAAACGTTGTTACTTATATGAGTATGGAGGATAGGTGAAATCTATCTCAATAACCCCATGTGACTACACTATCATACACTCTTACACTAAAACAAGTCATGGCAGATATAAATAACATTTTGCAGAATATGTCTACCCCAAAATATCCCTGATCAGGATTTAAAAAGTAAAACATTTATCAAAAAATATTTTTTGCATAATTTTAACACTAAAATTCTGAATATTTTGTTGTTGTTTGTTTTAAGATCTTAAAACTATTTCGAAAAATAGCATGATACAACTTTCTGTAACCCTTCATGTCTGAAAACTAGCCTTTCCACACTAATTTTGCTGGGCTTATTGACAAATGCAATTAATTACTTAATTGTTGGCAAATCCTGCTGGTGTTTTTTCAATTTCAAATAACTGAACTGCACCCATTTAAACCGTAACTCCACAGATTTAAAATAATTATTTGATGGTAAAAAGGCTTCCATATACAATACACAATTAAATATGTATCTTGGACCAATCGTAATAGAGCTACATCTTTGCTCCTTAACTATATTTCCTTGGTCACTTTTAGTGCTGACCCTAAAATCTATTGTAAGTAATCGTAAGTAAACTCTTTGTCACTACAATAAAATACAATAAGCAGGAGCCACTGAATATTGTGCCTTGACAACCGCCTGTCTAACAGGCCGAGACAAGTCAGCAACAAGAGGAAAGAGGGAAATACTTTATAGGATTCAGGAGATGTTACTTCCTTTTCTTTTCATTTTTCGATTTTCTTTAAGAAGGCTCAGTATACCATAACATATGTTCCTGAAACTGATAACATAAAATATAACATCTATGTGGACATAAAGCATATCCCTTACTGTTTTTTGAGGTACAAATGTAATAAAGATAGATAATATATAAAATACAAATCATGTCAATTTAAGAATTAATGGAAGAAGAAATTCACAAAACGAATATAAAAGTCTTTGAAAAACTTTGGCATCAAAAACTACATATCTGTCTGCTTTGTAATCTTTTGGACTGGTGAGAAACGAACTGACATTAGGCCGAAACAAATTAATTATTGTGTTTCTGCAAAATAGGGCAGGTAGGAAGGCATTTTTCTATTTTGGAAAATATTTGTACTATGCTTATATACCTATAAAAGCTTAAGGGTAGTCACAAAAAGCTAGGGTAGGTAGAGCTAGCGGAAACACAAGATTTTTTCATTTGGCCTTAGTGAGTGTATTTATTATACAGACATATATTAACGGTTATTTACAGGTAAAGGTAATTCACATTTTATGAGATATATATTTTGCACAAATTCAACTAATGATGTCTAACAACTATTAAATATATATTCAGACACATTTCAAAGTGTGATGTTAGCCTATCATTTCTCCTGCACATACCTCCAAAGAAATCTATTTTCTCTGGTTTCACACTAAACAGTGCCATGTCATGAAACTGTGACTGTATGGAAGTCTGGGCACATAATACATAATACATACTTTATAAAAACTTAAATCAAATTAAAGATCCCTGTACCACTGCACTGTGGGGTTTTTTCCCATATACCATACCTTTCCTTTGTTTCCTATTGGATATAACTACAGCATTATTGGGCGAGGACACTTCTGTTGACAAGGTAGCTTAATCAGTTAGAGCAATTGTATAATAACCTGAAGTCCGGGGTTTGAATCTCAGTCTAGCTCCGCGGAATTTTGCACACAGAACACTGTTGTTTGGTATATTCTGTTTATTTCGTCTTTATCAAATATTTTCGTGAAAGTTCCATAATGGTTTTCTTTTTTCAGAAATAATTTATCAAAGCTATAATCATGCCAGGAAAAGTTTCCAATGAATAGTGATATTTTTTGCCAGTGGTACGGGGATCTTTAAATCTTAAATATGGATGACAGTGTGTATACACAATAGTGATACTAATCACACCAATTATTTGATCACAAACTGTGGTAAATATTAACATGTGCATTCCCTCAATGAACACATATATATAAGGTGTCAATACCAGATGTCACCATCCAGAATATATCTGGCTCCCCGAGGTTGTCAGTAGCTGGTTATCCTCAGATGTTTTGCGTCGCTTTCTATACTGGCGAAACTTGTATAAGGCTATTCCTGAAAATGCTAGCAAAACTGAAAAAAACAAGAAAATTATTTATTATGTATCCATATCAAATGTAACCTTTCTTCATAATCTCTGCTTTAATTGTAAACTAACATAAACAAGAAACCAAGGAAGATTATTATATTGTCTGGAAGTCAAGGGTATTATATGCCCATCTAAATTTTATCAATGTTTTCATATTACTATTCCAGCTACGAATTGATTGGCTTAATTAAATGCATCATAGCCTAAGGTTTTGGAATATTGTAGAACTAATTAATTGTAAGTGTAGTTATACTAACCGACATCATAGCCTAAGGTTTGGAATACTGTAGAACTAATTAATTGTAAGTGTAGTTATACTAACCAACATCATAGCCTAAGGTTTGGAATACTGTAGAACTAATTAATTGTAAGTGTAGTTATACTAACCAACATCATAGCCTAAGGTTTGGAATACTGTAGAACTAATAAATTGTAAGTGTACTTGCCTTGTAGTTATACTAACCGACATCATAGCCTAAGGTTTTGGAATACTGTAGAACTAATTAATTGTAAGTGTAGTTATACTAACCAACACTACAACCGACCACCACAGCGATGAACTCCTGAGTGGCCCGACATTCTGTCCTGTCCTCATTGGCCTTATAGAAGGGTCCTGCACATGGTACGGCTTGACCGCTACCTTTGGGACAGATAGCACTGATAGGGCACCGCAGAGGGGGCTCTGATGCTATCTGGAATGGACAATGAGGAATGTAGAGATGTCTGTATCAGTTATTTCAAATAAAGTAACATTGTAACATAGTGTATGGTACATTTTATTTTCTTAAACAGTTGGCAAGTATGGATTGTAGAAAAGTTCTTTAGCACAACCAGTGAAGCATTTATGTGTGACATTTTGATATATGATGTACTCTGTCACCTTCATCAGACAAATCACCAGTGAAGCATGTGTACAAAATTGGCCAGTTCTGAAGTGTACAAAATTGGCCAGTTCTGAATCAAGATGAGGGGGCTTATGTATCTTTGACCAGATATTTATAAAGAAAATGTAGCCAAACCAATTGGTCAGTTTGATTTGTCATTTAGTACATGTATAACAATTAAATATTAAGTGTATGTAAGTTTATAATGTAGTGAAATCAATGTTAAGTATTGCAAACTTTTACATATTTTACACTTTTGAGATATACCCTAAAATGGTCATTTGTCTGATGAAGGAGACAGAGTACATACCATACTAGTTAGTCATCAAAATGTCACATACAAACACTTTATTGGTTGTGCTACATGAACTTGTCTACAATCAGTAAGGTACAGACATTTAGTGTCACTATACTACTATAATTGGCTGCACTAAGATCCAGGGTCACATTGTAACAATGACAGGTGGGAAAGGACAGACAGATGTGTGTAACTAATGCAGTACTGTAAAATTGAAGTGCTGTGTATATTTTAAAAGCTGTATAATCCTGTACATGTATGTAAATCTGACATCACACAACATTTCTGTTCTAGTGTCAGGGCCGAGGTAAAACGTGTCATGGGTAAAACTAGGAAATGAACATCCATTGACAGTGATTGTTTTAGGTGAATTTGGGGCCTTATAAAGGCTAGATATTTCTGCTGTGCTTTCCCAAAATCATTGCAAAAATCACTTTTTTCCCAAAACCATGCTGTTTGTGTGTGTTATATTCCCAAAGTAACAAGGCACATGCCTCTGTTGAAAAGTGATAGAGGTAGATAATTAATCAAGTGAAGAGTCCATGCTAACAGAGAGTATATATGAAATCAGAATGAAATAGGAAGTGTTTGGACTTTCAGCATCAAACAGCTGTGGACTACACTTACTGGACAGAAGAAACCCGATGGACACTCAAAGCAGGAACCGGAACCTGGTGTGGTCTGGTAGTATCCATCTCGACAGGGTATACACTTGGCACCACTGAGAGCAGCCTTATAGAAACCTACAGTAAAGACATATGTACTATATATAGTGATTACTGTACCAATACTGAAACAATGAAACAACAGAGAAAATAGTTATAATATAACAATACAGGTCGGAATCTGATATCTATCAACAATGGAATGGCGGTAACTTATAAACTCTTTCTCTGTCAGTAAATAAAATCAGATTAATAATCATCACTGTATGAAAACGAAGAATTAATTCTAAAACATCAATTGGAATGTAAACTTGTACTGCTTTCAAGAGTTTTAATTATAATCACAAGTAAGTTACAAATCTGTTACTGGCTATATGATTGTCATTGGAAGCATGCTTGAGGTACATATCTGTTACTGGCTATATGATTGTCATTGGTAGCATGCTTGAGGTACATATCTGTTACTGGCTATATGATTGTCATTGGTAGCATGCTTGAGGTACATATCTGTTACTGGCTATATGATTGTCATTGGTAGCATGCTTGAGGTACATATCTGTTACTGGCTATATGATTGTCATTGGTAGCATGCTTGAGGTACATATCTGTTACTGGCTATATGATTGTCATTGGTAGCATGCTTGAAGTAAGTTACATATCTGTTACTGGCTATATGATTGTCATTGGTAGCATGCTTGAAGTAAGTTACATATCTGTTACTGGCTATATGATTGTCATTGGTAGCATGCTTGAAGTAAGTTACATATCTGTTACTGGCTATATGATTGTCATTGGTAGCATGCTTGAAGTAAGTTACATATCTGTTACTGGCTATATGATTGTCATTGGTAGCATGCTTGAAGTAAGTTACATATCTGTTACTGGCTATATGATTGTCATTGGTAGCATGCTTGAAGTAAGTTACATATCTGTTACTGGCTATATGATTGTCATTGGTAGCATGCTTGAAGTAAGTTACATATCTGTTACTGGCTATATGATTGTCATTGGTAGCATGCTTGAAGTAAGTTACATATCTGTTACTGGCTATATGATTGTCATTGGTAGCATGCTTGAAGTAAGTTACATATTTGTTACTGGCTATATAATTGTCATTGGTAGCATGCTTGAGGTAAGTTACATATCTGTTTCTGGCTATATGATTGTCATTGGTAGCATGCTTGAGGTAAGTTACATATTTGTTACTGGTTATATGATTGTCATTGGTAGCATGCTTGTGGTGGATTACATTGCTTGCTTGTGTTGAGCTGTATGCATGATTGGTTTCTTGTACTTTGTTGCATGTCTGTACTAAGTTGTATGCTTGTGCATGGTACTTTGTTGCATGTCTGTACTAGGTTTTATGCTTGTGTTTGGTACTTTGTGGCATGTCTGTACTAAGTTGGATGCTTGTGTTTGGTACTTCGTTGCATGTCTGTACTAAGTTGTATGCTTGTGTTTGGTACTTTGTTGCATGTCTGTACTAAAATATATGTTTGTGCTTGGTACTTTGTTGCATGTCTGTACTAAGTTGTATGCTTCTGCTTGGTACTTTGTCGCATGTCTATACTAGGTTGTATGTTTGTGTTTGGTACTTTGTTGAATGTCTGTGCTAAGTTGTATGCTTGTGTTTGCTTGAGGTACATATCTGGTACTGGCTATATGATTGTCATTGGTAGCATGCTTGTGGTGGATTACATTGCTTGCTTGTGTTGAGCTGTATGCATGATTGGTTTCTTGTACTTTGTTGCATGTCTGTGCTATGTTGTATGCTTGTGTTTGGTACTTTGTTGCATGTCTGTACTAAGTTGTATGCTTGTGCTTGGTACTTTGTCGCATGTCTATACTAGGTTGTATGCTTGTGTTTGGTACTTTGTTGAATGTCTGTACTAAGTTGTATGCTTGTGTTTGGTACTTTGTTGCATGTCTGTACTAAGTTGTATGCTTGTGTTTGGTACTTTGTTGCATGTCTGTATTAAGTTGTATGTTTGTGTTTGGTATTTTGTTGCATGTCTGTACTAAGTTGGATGCTTGTGTTTGGTACTTTGTTGCATGTCTGTACTAAGTTGTATGCTTGTGTTTGGTACTTTGTTGCATGTCTGTATTAAGTTGTATGTTTGTGTTTGGTACTTTGTTGCATGTCTGTACTAAGTTGTATGCTTGTGTGTGGTACTTTGTTGCATGGCTGTATTAAGTTGTAAGTTTGTGTTTGGTACTTTGTGGCATGTCTGTACTAAAATGTATGTTTGTGTTTGGTACTTTGCTTCATGCCTGTACTAAGTTGTATGTTTGTGTTTGGTACTTTGTTGCATGTCTGTACTAAGTTGTATGCTTGTGTTTGGTAACAAGTAGGTTTGGTTGCTTGTTAATAAATGGTCCCTTGCTTGTGTTTCCTTGCATGTGCTTGCTTGTTTCTTAATTGTGTTTGCCTGCATGTAAGTGTTTTTTGCATGGTTGCAATCCTGCTTTTGGTTGTATACTCGGTACTTGTTATGCTGCATACTTGTACTTGATTGGGACTATGTGGTTGCCTGCCTGTGTTTGTTTGAGTGTGTTTGTTTTCATATTTGTAATTGGTTGCAATCCTAGCCTAGGTTTGGCTGATTGCAAGCTTTTGTTTGATAAGTTTGAATATTTGTACTTGGTTCCTTGCTTGTATTCGATCGCATGATTTTGATTGGTTGCATATTTTTTAAAAGAAGTCATGACAGCTGTTGGTAGCATGTTCGCATCGAAGTTAAATAGATTGAAGTGATATTGCCAGTACCTGGTTCACACAGCGTACAGTTGGTACTCCCCTCATCAACAGTCTCCTGACCTTCAGGACAATATGCACAGTTTATACACCCATGAGCACTGCAACACAGAAACGAATATTTGTCTCATTCACCCTAATACAGAACATCTACACTGACCAACCCTAATACAGAACATCTACACTAAGCAACCCTAATACAGAACATCTACACTGACCAACCCTAATACAGAACACCTACACTGACCAACCCTAATACAGAACACCTACACTGACCAACCCTAATACAGAACATCTACACTGACCAACCCTAATACAGCACATATACACTGACCAACCCTAATACAGAACATCTACACTGACCAATCTAAAACAATACACAAAAGATTTTAATTAGCTTTCATTTTTTTGTACAGGTATATATTATGTTGAAAGGTACATGCCAAAATGAGCAGATAATTATACATTTACCCATATTGGTTTCGTAGTGTATAACCTCAACATATAATCAAGTTACACTTTCAACTGACAAGAAGGAAACGAAGTGTTTAATCCATTCAAAGATATATGTTCAGGAGTTTCAATAGGACTTCATGCCACCTGTATCCTACACAAATTAGGCAGTTAATTATATTCAATACAAGTAACCAGTGAAATATCGTCAGTATAAGGGTACTGTTACGGTCTACTGGCTACAAATGAAACCCCTGTTATGTTTTTTTTTGAAAATTGCAAACATGGATTAGATTAAAGTTATTGAACTTAATTCATAATACTTCATATGATATAATGTGTATATGTATATGTCATGCTTTTATTGTATATTTTACACATATATAACATAGTAATAATTACGAAATTAACATACTTGCAAATGCTGCCGACAGGACAGTATACACATGACGATTTATTTGGCTGACTCTGAAACATTCCTGGTTCACACTTGGAACAGTTGAAGGAGCTCTCTTCTTTAGAAAAATGTCCTGTCAAGTATAGATAATACAGTGTTTTAGTGAAACCTGCATACAGCAAAACCTGTGCACTATGAGCAAAAAGTCAATACAAGAGACAAGCTGTAATAATGATGAAAATGTTCCATTAAAAGGGTAATACAGAGGGATCGGTCCCATTATTAGCCTTTGTAAGTACAATATATAAATGTTCAAGCTGCTTGATATAGCAAGCAACTATATATATAATGAATAAAGTTTATATGGTACACAGACATGTTATACCTGCTTGACATACAGGACAGGTAAGTAGCCCGGTAGAATTACCACTGAAAGTTCCAGGGGGACAGGCAGCACACTGGGAACAACCCAAACTGAAACACATAGGCAAACGTAAGTTATCAAAATTGTAACAAACATACAATCTAATGCAAGAAATTTCAATACCACACAAATTACAAACATACATAGGATCTAATGCAAGTAACTTAAATATCATACCAGTTACAAACATACACGGGAACTGGTTCAAGTAACTTCGATACCATACCAGTTACAAACATACACAAGAACTGGTTAAAGTAACTTCAATACCATTGTTACAAACATACACAGGAACTGGTTCAAGTAACTTCAATACCATACCATGGCCAGTTACAAACATACACAGGAACTGGTTCAAGTAACTTCAATACCATCCCATGGCCAGTTACAAACATACACAGGAACTGGTTCAAGTAACTTTAATACCATACCAGTTAAAAACATACACAGGAACTGGTTCAAGTAACTTCAATACCATACCATGGCCAATTACAAACATACACAGGAACTGGTTCAAGTAACTTCAATACCATACCAGTTACAAACATAGACAGGAACTGGTTCAAGTAACTTCAATACCATTGTTACAAACATACACAGGAACTGGTTCAAGTAACTTCAATACCATACCAGTTACAAATATACACAGGAACTGGTTCAAGTAACTTAATTCAATACCATTGTTACAAACATACACAGGAACTGGTTCAAGTAACTTTAATACCATACCAGTTACAAACATACACAGGAACTGGTTCAAGTAACTTCAATACCATTGTTATAAACATATTAGGATCATGCAGTTAATGTATAGTGGCAAATAAAGGACAAATTGAAAACAGAAGCGAAGTGAACACTGTACACCTGTATAAAGGTGCTTTGTAAAATTGGCCATTAGATAGGATGTACATCAAGGGATCCTATAACTGAATAAGTACTTCCTCCATGACCAAAGGCTTATTACATAATAAAAGTAACAGTGATTTGACGAAGAAGCAAGGGCTTTTTGTCAATCACTTCTAACAGTGATTTGGCGAAGAAGCAAGGGCTTTTTGTCAATCACTTCTAACAGTGATTTGGTGAAGAAGCAAGGGCTTTTTGTCAATCACTTCTAACAGTGATTTGGTGAAGAAGCAAGGGCTTTTTGTCAATCACTTCTAACAGTGATTTGGTGAAGAAGCAAGGGCTTTTTGTCAATCACTTCTAACAGTGATTTGGTGAAGAAGCAAGGGCTTTTTGTCAATCACTTCTAACAGTGATTTGGTGAAGAAGCAAGGGCTTTTTGTCAATCACTTCTAACAGTGATTTGGTGAAGAAGCAAGGGCTTTTTGTCAATCACTTCTAACAGTGATTTGGTGAAGAAGCAAGGGCTTTTTGTCAATCACTTCTAACAGTGATTTGGTGAAGAAGCAAGGGCTTTTTGTCAATCACTTCTAACAGTGATTTGGTGAAGAAGCAAGGGCTTTTTGTCAATCACTTCTAACAGTGATTTGGTGAAGAAGCAAGGGCTTTTTGTCAATCACTTCTAACAGTGATTTGGTGAAGAAGCAAGGGCTTTTTGTCAATCACTTCTAACAGTGATTTGCATTTTTTAAAAGGACAATGTAATTCTTCCATAAGATTACACATACAAATGTAGATCACTTCACATCTTTTTGACAAATCACCCCATAAAACAAAGTGTTTTTGTTCATGTTAAAAGTTGTTTTACTACACATAGTGAATCGATGGCACTTAGTCATAACTTATACCATAGTATCGCTAATTAGGTTTCACACTGAAAAAAATCAGCATTAAGGATCCGATGACTGCCAAAAACTGTAACAAGGTATTGAAAACCTTTTTCACAACAAAATTGATTTGTCATTTCTGAAAAAGAACCGCAACTCTGTGGAACTTTAATGCAAAAAAATAATTAGGATGAAACAAACAAAAAAGAAATCATCATAAATTCATCTTTTCTTGAGAAGAAGTCGAAAATGCACAGCCAATCGGACACGAGAGTGTCCATCTTGATTTTCAGATTGGCACGAAAAGTAAGAGCATTTAGCAGTGCATGACCTCATGAGGAATATTTGTACTGAGGTTTAACTCCATTAGTCTAGTTGTTCTGAAGAAGAAGTTGAAAAAAGAAAATTGTTAACTCACAAAGCAGACAAACACCGATGGCAATATGTAGCTCATATGATAAATAAGGGGAGCTTAAACTACATTGGAGTTATCTAGTATTAAATTTGCCTGGAGTGGGACAATTAAGGGTCCTTACAACTGTTAACACTGGACTTTTTGGACAAAAAATGCCTACAGTGGTATACTTGGTTTGTTTATGTTTTATGTCCTATTGTAAGCTATGGTCATTTAAGGACCTGCTAGGTTTTGGTGGTGGAGGAATGCTGGAGTTCCCGGAGAAAAACCACCGACCTATAGCTACAGCAAGTACCAGTGGTGGAGGGCTAGTGGTAGCAGAATGTCAGAGGCCTTATATTACCACATGGACACCGAGGTGCCAGACATTGGTATACTGGTATACATACCCACAGTATGTTCCAACTCCACACAGCTTACAGGTGGACACACCAGGCTGATCTTGAAATGTTCCTCCTGGACATTTATGACACTTGATTTGACCAGTCTCATTCTGGTAGAATCCTGGTTCACATTTGTTACACAATCTCTGTCCCTTCTCTGCCTGGTAATTCCCCTTGGGACACAATTTACACTCAGATTGTCCCTCCTCATCCTGAAACTCTCCACTATTACACAACTTACACTTCAATTGACCTTCCAAGTCCTGGAAATGACCTTGAGAACAGTTACGACAACTTGATTGTCCTGTTTCGTTCTGAAATGTTCCATTTGTGCACGGTTTACAGTCTATTTTCCCCTTTTCATCCTGAAATTGTCCTTTAGTACAGTTCTCGCAACTGCTTTGACCAGCTTGTTGCTGTACCTTCCCTGATGGACACAACAGACATTTTGCAGAACCTGTTACATTGGTGAATTCACCAGCTCCACATTCTGAACACTTGACAGTGCCCGTCACACTAAAACAGAAAAATAAACCAGATAAATGGTCTGTAAGACATGAATGTCACACAGTGTTTCATATTTCAATCATGGATACATTTTCTATTTATAGTAACAGTGACCTTGACTTTATATGTCGCATGACACTGCGAATACATTAACTCATCTGAATTACTTAAGTACTGAACACATGAAACGTAATATTTTGAATTTTCCATGAAAATCTCAGAAGAAATTAGTACATTGTATAGGATAATGAGGAGATGACAAATATTTCAAATCACTATAGTAACAGTCTGACTTTGGGCTCAGAAACTCAATCAAGGTATTTTTGTGTACTGAGTGCTTTCATTCATATCTAATGGAAAATGAAGACAGGTAGAGTGATAACAAACATTTTCTATTTATAGTAACAATGACCTTGACCTTTAGCTTAGGACCCTGACTTGCAAATTTATGCACAGTATTTGCAGTACTATACACTTGCGAAAAGCTTCATTCAATTGAAATTGAGAATGAAGGTAGAACAGGGGGGACAACTTTGTGTGCACATGCAGTTGTTATCACTTTACTTCCTATAAGCCAAAGTACACAGTCACAATTATAGCATGCTGTACTTCAGAAAACACAGCAAAGTCTAAAAAGAGATAACTGGAACCCATAGGTACTAGTTCATTGGTGTCGTGGAATGAATTAGGTTTTTGTCTGTGGATTGAAATCCATCATATGTACAGTAGCTGCAAACAAAGTTGAGGACGTGACTTGCCACTAACCATTGTACATGTAAGGTGAGGACGAGACTTGCCACTAGCCGACGTACATGTAAGTTGAGGACGTGACTTGCCACTAACCGACGTACATGTAAGGTGAGGACGTGACTTGCCACTAACCGACGTACATGTAAGGTGAGGACGTGACTTGCCACTAACCGACGTACATGTAAGGTGAGGACGTGACTTGCCACTAACCGACGTACATGTAAGGTGAGGACGTGACTTGCCACTAACCGACGTACATGTAAGGTGAGGACGTGACTTGCCACTAACCGACGTACATGTAAGGTGAGGACGTGACTTGCCACTAACCGACGTACATGTAAGGTGAGGACGTGACTTGCCACTAACCGACGTACATGTAAGGTGAGGACGTGACTTGCCACTAACCGACGTACATGTAAGGTGAGGACGTGACTTGCCACTAACCGACGTACATGTAAGGTGAGGACGTGACTTGCCACTAACCGACATACATGTAAGGTGAGGATGTCACTTGCCACTAACCGACACACTTGTAAGTTGAGGATGTGACTTGCCACTAACCGACGTACATGTAAGGTGAGGACGTGACTTGCCACTAACCGACGTACATGTAAGGTGAGGACATGACTTGCCATAAACCGACGTACATGTAAGGTGAGGACGTGACTTGCCACTAACCGAAGTACATGTAAGGGGAGGACGTGACTTGCCACTAACCGACGTACATGTAAGGTCAGGACGGGACTTGCCACTAACCGACGTACATGTAAGGTCAGGACGTGACTTGCCACTAACTGACGTACATGTAAGGTGAGGACGTGACTTGCCCCTAACCGACGTACAATAGTAAGGTGAGGACATGACTTGCCACTAACCGACGTACAGGTAAGGTGAGGACATGACTTGCCACTAACCGACGTACATGAAAGGTCAGGACGTGACTTGCCACTAACTGACGTACATGTAAGGTGAGGACGTGACTTGCCACCAACCGACGTACAATAGTAAGGTGAGGACATGACTTGCCAATAACCGAAGAACATGTAAGGTGGGGACATGACTTGCCACTAACCGAAGTACATGTAAGGCGAGGACGTGACTTGCCACTAACCGACGTACATGTAAGGGGAGGATGTGACTTGCCACTAACCGAAGTACATGTAAGGTGAGGACGTGACTTGCCACTAACCGACGTACAATAGTAAGGTGAGGACATGACTTGCCACTAACCGAAGAACATGTAAGGTGAGGACATGACTTGCCACTAACCGACGTACATGTAAAGTGAGGACATGACTTGCCACTAACCGACGTGCATGTAAGGTGAGGACATGACTTGCCACTAACCGACGTGCATGTAAGGTGAGGACATGACTTGCCACTAACCGGCGTACATGTAAGGTGAGGACATGACTTGCAACTAACCGACGTACATGTAAGGTGAGGATGTGACTTGCCACTAACCGAAGTACATGAAAGGTGAGGACGTGACTTGCCACTAACCGAAGTACATGTAAGGTGAGGACGCGACTTGCCACTAACCGACGTACAATAGTAAGGTGAGTACATGACTTGCCACTAACCGACGTACATGTAAAGTGAGGACATGACTTGCCACTAACCGACGTACATGTAAGGTGAGGATGTGACTTGCCACTAACCGACGTACATGTAAGGTGAGGACCAAACCAGTGTGTACAATATTTGCAACAAGGCAAAAGAGCTTTCTACTGAGAATGTACATTCATCAGTGGGGAAATAGCAATTAATTTCTTATGATAACCAACTTCTTAATCACTCACTAGATCTTAAATAATCAGGACAACACCAACTTTGACAGTTAAATCCTGGCTAAACTTTCTGGATTACTCTGGAAGGTTTAGATTTGGTGGAGTTTTATATTCTACTAGTATTTAGTGCATAAAATCAGGCAACAAGATGTAGTGATCAACTATGACACAATGCTGAAAATATTTAAGATGAGTTCAACAGCTGTAAAAGCTTCATGTGTTTATTGAAATTCGAAACTCACATAGAAAGTGAGATATAACCACAGTAAAAATATCCCAATTTATGGTCTACCATTGTCAATAAGCTGTAAATATATTTGATGGCCTGATTCTTTAGTTTCTGCAAATGTTTATTATACATACCGGTAAGAATGTAACAAAATCCTCACCAAATCAGTATCAAATTAATCAATCTGCTTCTAAGAATTATTTTTTCTCTACTTGATTTAACTGAATACTGAATTTTGACTTAATTCATACAAGCTTACTTAGTGGCATATCCTTTAGCACAAGGTTTACATGTGGTCATGCCTGGCTTGTCCTGGTACTGTCCCTTATCACAGGGGAAGCAACTCTCCTTCCCCGTGAGGTTTTGGGCATGGCCCTCCGCGCATGCCTCACAAAAACTCTGGTTGTAACATTCACCTGTAGCCTCGTTGGGGCAGCAACCACATTCAGTCACACCTAGAAAACAAGTACTAATTGTAATGGGGGACAATTACAGAAGCCCCCCAAACCCTCGAGCTATGTTCGTAGTGCCATAATAGACCGACATATGAAATTTGAGCAAAATTGACCAATATTTAATTTCAACCAATCAGAAGCCTCCATGCCGTGTGGTTGCTATAGGAAGGATCTGAAAATAAAGACTTGAATGCACGTCTACATACGCCCATTTTTAATCATGTGAAGTTTACTCCGTTTGGGGGACATAATTAAACAGGTAATCAGGTTATAGTAGTCTACATCATTGTCAAAATGACTACAACACCAGGTATAATCTAATACATTTGATGTATAATGTTTAACCTATTAGAATGGCTATGTTACAATCCCTGGTGAATTATTGATATATGATTGATAAAAGGGGAAATTAGGATATGTTCTATAACAAACTGTCTACTGTAGTTGTCTATTCGTGAAACTAATATATAATCAATTAAATATATGACAGTAGAAGAAAAAGGAAGATTAACTCACTGTGATTGGCAAAGCTTCCTCCATCACAAGGCTGGCACAATGATATGTTGGAACCAGTACAGTTGGTAACGTCGGCGAACAGGAAGGGGAAATCACTTCTGTGACTGACAGGGAAGCTACGGAGATCATTCCCTTGAGAGGGACTGACATCACTTGCTACCAGGAGGTAAACATTGTGGTACAGGCACCCTAGTAGTAGTACAATGCCTGTCAACAGAAAACAAGGTTAATAGCTAACCATACTACACCTGTCAACAAAAAACAAGGTTAATAGCTAACCATAATATACCTGTCAACAGAAAACAAGGTTAATAGCTAACCATACTACACTTGTCAACAGAAAACAAGGTTAATAGCTAACCATACTACACCTGTCAACAAAAAACAAGGTTAATAGCTAACCATACTACACCTGTCAACAGAAAACAAGATTAATAGCTAACCATACTACACCTGTCAACAGAAAACAAGGTTAATAGCTAACCATACTACACTTGTCAACAGGAAACAAGGTCAACAGGAAACAACAAGGCTGATTACTCAAGGTGGAATGGTCTAGAAGATATGTCCCGGACAAAATAACTTCCTGGACTAAAGGATGGACGGAAGGATGGACGGACTGTGTGCAAACCTATAGTCCCCTTCCCCAGGAATCAGTGGGGGACTAATTACTTCACCTGTCGACAAACAAGAGGCCCGATGGGCCTGCATCGCTCACCTGGTATTAATCTCACACTTGTAATTTTAAAAGTGGACTTAAAAACAGCTACAGGAAGAATATCAGTGTTTGATTCATAAGAACCTATTAAAAGATTTTAAAATATGATGCCTGTGACCTTGAATGTTGTACAAGGACATCAGGTTGAAAGTGGATCAAGGTCATTCATTTGAACAAACTTGGTAGTCCTTCATCCCAGCATGCTACAGGCCTAATTTTAGTACCCTGGGCCTTTTGGTTATTGAGAAGTCGTTTGAAGGTTTTATGCATTCGACCCCTTTGACCTTGTAAATTGGTCAAGGTCATTCATTTGAACAAACTTGGTAGCCCTTCATCCCAGCATGCTACAAGCCCAATATAAGTAACCTGGACCTTTTGGTTATTGAGAAGAAGTTGTTTGAAGATTTTAACATATTTGACCCCTGTGACCTTGAAAATGGGTCAAGGTCAGTCATTTTAACAAACTTTGTAGCCCTTCATCCCAGCATGCTTCAGGCCTAATATCAGTACCCAGGGCCTTTTGGTTATTGAGAAGAAGTTGTTTAAAGTAAAAAGTTGACGCCGGACGGACAGACGACGGACCGACGGGCGGACCGACGGGCGGACGACGGACGGACAACGGACGCCGCACCATGGCATAAGCTCACTTGCCCTTCGGGCAGGTGAGCTAAACACAAGTCAAACAGCTGGTAACCATTACTAGACCTGTCAACAGGTAAGTTACCGTAACCATTAATACACCTGTCAACAGGTAACCATTACTAGACCTGTCAACAGGTAACCATTAATACACCTGTCAACAGGTAACCAATACCACACCTGTCAACAGGTAACCATTCCCACACCCGTCAACAGGTAAGTTACCGTAACAATTACTATACCTGTCAACAGGTAACCATTACTACACCTGTCAACAGGTAACCATTACCACACCTGTCAACAGGTAACCATTACCACACCCGTCAACAGGTAAGTTACCGTAACCATTACTATACCTGTCAACAGGTAACCATTAATACCCCTGTCAACCGGTAACCATTAATACAACTGTCAACAGGTAAGTTCCCGTAACCATTACTAAACCTGTCAACAGGTTAGCATTAATCCACCTGTCAACAGGTAACCAATACCATACCTGTCAATAGGTAACCATTACCATACCTGTCAATAGGTAACCATTACCACCCCTGTCAACAGGTAAATATTAATACACCTGCCAACAGGTAACCATTTAGATACATGTCAAGAGGTAACCATTACCACGCCTATCAACAGGTAACCAATACTTCACCTGTCAACAGGTGTATTAATGGGTACCTGTTGAGAGGTGGGGGAATGGTTACCTGTTGTCAGGTATAGTAATGGTTAGGGTAAGTTACGTGTTGACGGGTGAGGTAATGGTTACCTGTTTACAGGTATATGTATGGTTACCTGTTGAAAGGTGTGGTAATGATTACCTGTTGACAGGGGTAGTAATGGTTACCTGCTGACAGGTGTATTAAGGTATATATATATATACCTTAATACACCTGTCAAAAGGTTACCATTACTACACCTCTCAACAGGTTACCATTGATACACCTGTCAACAGGTACCCATTAATATGCCTGTCAACAGGTAACAATTACCACACCTATCAACAGGTAACAATTACTACACCTGTCAAAAGGTTACCATTACTACACCTCTCAACAGGTTACCATTAGTACACCTGTCAACAGTTAACCATTAATACACCTTTCAACAGGTAACCATCACCACACCTGTCAACTGGTTTCCAATGATACACCTGTCAACAAAAAACAAGGTTAATAGCTAACCATAATATACCTGTCAATAGGTAACCATTACCAAACCTGTCAACAGGTTCCCATTCCTATACCTGTCAACAGTTAACCATTAATACACCTTTCAACAGGTAACCATACATATACCTGTAAACAGGTAACCATTATCCCACCTGTCAACAGGTAGCCATTACCTTAATAGCTAACCATAATATACCTGTCAATAGGTAACCATTACCAAACCTGTCAACAGGTAAATATTAATACACCTGTCATCAGGTAACCCTTACTACACCTGTCAACAAGTTACCATTAATACACCTATCAACAGGTAACCAATACTTCACCTGTCAACAGGTCGTAACCATTACTATCCCTGTCAACAGGTAACTATTACTTCACCTGTCAACAGGTCGTAACCATTACTATGCCTGTCAACAGGTAACCATTACTACACCTGTCAACAGGTTACCATTACTACACCTGTTACATGTAACAGGTAAAGTTAAATTTTACTAATCAAGTTACAAACATAACCACACCAGTCCACAAATGTCAACAAGTAAGGTTTAGATATAAGACAGGTAAAATTTCACCACACTTGTCAAAAGATAGGGTGAAAGGACAGGTAACAACCATCACCACACCTGTTAGTAGGTAAGGATATAAAACATAAAACAACAAAAAAAAATAACAGTTTCTAAGTAACAGCCTAGATGTACATTTTTTTAAACAGATAACATGTTTTTAACAAAAGGAACTGTAGCAAAGGATTCAAAGCGATAACCCTTTATTTTCCATAAATGTTTTAACCATAAATGTAAATATAATGAGGAAGAGTTTAACATGTGAGAAGTTTCAGGAAGAGTGGTCATATCCTTTTTACATAAGTGCTGATACAAGAGTCTCCTTGAATGTTACAACACGTGAGCACTCTAGTATCGCTGTTTGAATCACGGTACTATTTATCATATCTACATGTATACTCTCAATCATACGTTCAAAGTTATACAACTGTCAAGTGTCCAGATGTCTGACTGATAACATCAGAGATCAAAAGTTCATGCATGAGTTTAAATAATCATGCATGATATAGTACACCTTTATCATAAACGTGGTTGATAATTCTAAATTGAAAATTTATTAATGCAGATTACAGGTGTATGCAAATTAAAACAATGGGTTTTATCTGAATTATAGATATACTTTAAACCCCTTACATGTAATCTCAAAATCTACACATGTACATGTGTAGCTGTACTCCCAGGTAAAGATGTACCAATGCAATGTAAACCCCTTATATGTAAACCAGTTTCATGAATGTTCCTTAATTTAAGTACATGTAACTTTTGTAAGTGTTTCTGTAGATACAGAACTGTTTGAATTTTGAAAAAAATCTTAACAAATTTTCCTTATTTTTTGTAACGCTTATTTGTAAAACTGGGAACTGATGTACCGGCCTATATAACTCTCAAACTCCCAAACATCTTACAGGTATATATATATATACCTGTATATATATATATACCTCCCAAACATCTTACAGGTATATACCTGCGACTCCCAAACATCTTACAAGTATATACCTTTAACCCCCAAACTCTAAAACATCTTACAGGTATACCCCTGTAACCCACTAACTCCAAAACATCTTACAGGTACACGTACATACTGTATATACCTGTAACCCCCAACCCCCGAACTCCCAAACATATCTTACATGCACATACTGTATATACCTGTAACCCCCAAACTCCCAAACATCTTACAGGTATATATACCTGTAACCCCCAAACCCCAGCAAACTCCCATGTCCAATACAGATATTCCTGTAACCCCCAATTTACTCCCAAGCCCTTTTCAGATAATTACATGTAACCCCCAAACTTCTTAGTCCCTTACCAGTGTAAAATGCTAATTGTTAAATAATAAAACTCTAGGGATGTTCTAAAAATAACAGGTTTGTGTTATTAACAATGAAACAATCACATTTACTTAATTGAGCAGTTTTCCTGAAGGCAGTCAAACCAGGATTATTACCTTGTTATACATGTAGTTATTGGCTCATATTATACACGGATAATCCAGGAGGGAGCCATATATAGGGCCCTCGTAACTGAAAACAGCACTCCTAGCACTCCTAATTTATATTTCTTTTTGTTTTACTGAGGTACATTGAATAAAAAAAACTCTTTATTTATTAATAAAAAATTTAAATGCTGAAAATTGCCCATTCCATGATTTTTGCTTGATATATATTATATGATGTATGAGGAATCCCTTTTGTAAATATATACTTGTATATAAATTTAGCCACAAGTTACCTCCGAAACCTGCCTATATTTCGAATTCTTGATCAGTAAATTTACATCCTAGCTTATAATGCACTTTCACCATGTCATATCATGCAATTTAAGTACAGAAGGGCCAGCATAAATGTAACATATACACCCCAGTGGGGCAGGAATTCATATGCCCTTCATGTATCTGGTATGGCAAGCATTTGTCCCTCTAGGCAATAATCTTACATTTTGTATATTAGTGCTTGTACTACAGCAGGGATGTGTAGTGGACATCCCTGAGTGTAGTGTAATAACTAGATTAAGTTAAAATATGAAGTCCTTCTGTAGAGACCAAATAAATATACGTTCTTTTTAGTTTTAGTCTTTCTGCAATTGTATACACATTCCTTTGACCAAAATTAAAATCAATACCGGCTGCTGTAATAAAACGTTACACATAAATATCACCAAAAAATATCTATTAGACTATTTACTAAATCAAGTTTACTCAAAAACGTTCAAACAGAATGAAAATGTCATCACGATACCAACCTAAATAAAAATTATTCTGCATCATTCCCGTTTTCAGAAACGTCTAAAAGCATTTTTCCTCTATGATGTATCTGACAGCATTATGAAGTCATCCAGTCTCCATTTTGCCAATCATGTGACATCTAGGTGGAAACGAAAGCAAAGCTGGAGACGGATTTCCATATCCGTATCCAGCGGATTTCCATATATATATCCGTGTATGGAGAAATAATGTAACAATTTCTTTAAAATTATTTTTTCTCTTAATATATAGTATTTCTGAACTTTCAAATAAATCTTATTGAATTATATTTACTAAACGAGATTTATAACGTGGCCATAAATTTCCGGAACAGATAAATCCGGATCCGTTTGAAATTTTAGAAAAACTCAATATGTCTGCGTCCATGAACAAGCGTGGTCCCCTTTGACAAGCTCTTGAGAAAAACATGCAGAACGACGAAGTTTGTATATTGATTAACATTTAATTGTATTTATTGATACCTAAGGTTGTTTATTTACCCCAACGATTATTCGGAAACACTGATAAAACGATATTTCAAAAGTTTTTATTGAAATTGCTGTACACATGTACAATAATAACACATTCTGCTTTCCATCTGATTCTGCCACAGTTGTTTTATATTTTTACAGTTTTTGCTTCATTTATCTACTTTATTTTACATTTTTCAGGTAATCTGGGGTATCATCAACGGAACATTCTGTTCATTTAAAGTCAGGTGAGTAGTGCTCACCAATTTATCAGCTTTTATAGTTGGAACATATAATAAACGAGCGTCAGAATAGCCGTCCCCATACGGCGCGTCTAATTACCCAATACTACCCAATACTACCCCATACGACCCAGTTATGAACCAAATACTTCTTTATTACTGTGAAATATCACCTTTGTAGACGTTATTTACTTCCATCTGCCATATTTTATCGGGAAATATGCGATTTGGTGCCGAAAACATCACCGAATTGCCGTGACTATGACCCAATACTACCC